GCATTTCTTTTCTCTTAATCTTGCAAATAAGTATTTTCTAATTTTCTTATAATTGTAGAAAAGCACTATGAAAAAAACTGTGTCATCCGTTTTTCGACAGGACCGAAGCCTAAAAAGAATTGCTTATTAAATTAATAAACACTAAAGGTACAGAACTCCATGTTCGAACCTTTTTACTGCATGAATAGTAGGAAACATGTCGCAGTTATGCTTCAAATCTATTATACTATAGTCTAAGACACCGTTTACAAAATAACTACGACTTGTATACAATGAACGTGAATCAATTGTAATCTTTCCGATGTGATCTTCGAATTCCAACTTGGAGCCCTTGAATCCTCTATTGAATTTGAAACATTTTTCGAATATATCGGTGTCTTTGGATTCTTTATTCTATCGATACTGTGTAATTAGTTTTTCATAGATTGTTGAGATAGTTGATGGTGACTATTTAAGCGACATTTGAAGCTCGTCCTATCATTTTTTGAAGCTTTTCTATTGTAGCAGAACCACACCCTATCCATAGCAATTGTACCTTTTAGTTGGTCTCTTATTCCAATTATTTTTTATTGATTTATGAAGAGTGAACTTGATAAGTAATTATTAGGAATGGCAGAGCCTGTGTCAAGCGATAGATAACGTATTCTGAACTATCAGAAGCGATGCCATGAACAGAGTGATGATCACGAGGTGCAGCATAAAGAGCACTATTCATGTGCTTCATGATCATCTCTTGACCCAAAGCCACTTTACTGAATAATATTATGCGCGTCATAGTAGGATCACTAGGCATAGGCAACGTATATTCGTGAGACTTTTGTGCATTGTCAGCAAAGTAAGCACCGTTACCTGGAATAAAACATTTCCGTGACATGTTTCCAGTTAAAAATTTTGCACTTACCAAACACGCCAGGGGTCTTAAAGAAGCCGTAATCAAAGCCTTCCTCCATAATTCTTTTCCATTTGTTCGTGTGTGTGCCGTGAAACAAAAATTGTTCATTAGGACTACTATCAGAACATTCATTAGCAATCAATACTTTCATGGATTTCCATATGTTTTCCAATTCAAGATTATAGATTTGTTTTACGCTTATCATTGTGCTTCCAATAATTTTTTGCATTGCCAACTCAACATTTTTGTAAAGATCTGAACTTGTCAAAAGTGGACTAATGACAAATGTTGGCCTAACCTGCTGAGGTCTGTTGATGAGCGGTACACCATTCTGTACCCATCCACGAGCCATCATCTTATTAATACGTTTTGTAATAAGTTCATTAAGTGAGGGTAGAACATGAAATGTCTTGCATTTTATGTTCGCTATGATTTGCTTCACGCCAATCAAATATGGTGGCTCGGCTAGATCGAAGCGCTGACTCAGCTGGCTACATTGGTCACGTTTTACGCAGAGGTTATTGACATCAAAATCTGGGATGCGGAATCCGACACTGCAATACGGCTCAATCAATTCCAGTGTAAACGGACCCGTCGGTTGATGTTGATCGAACAATAGCCTATAAGAACGACGAGAGCGATAGATTTGTGGTTTCATATCGAATTTGGTGATTTCATCGCAAAACTTTTCCACGTCAAAGTAACGATCTAACGGCATTTTACAGTCAATATCAGAAGGAACCAATGCCTTCAAAAGAGATGGAATACCAGTTATCGCATCGAATTGAACCCATTCTGAAGGCTGAATTGTTAGTGGGGGTCGCACTCGTTCATTTGCCACGATCCAGTCACGAACAAAGCCCCCTTCAAGATTACAATTGAATTTGCATACAGCCACCCATGCCACCACTTCCATTCGAGACTCTCGTGAAGCTGTTGAGCCACGCACACGCGGCCATAAATCAGTTGGAGTGAGTGTACTATCGGCGATCCGTGCAATATTCTCCTCGATCGTCATTCGACTTAGATTTTTTGATAAATGCCTAGGTAATACCTCTAAAAGAAAATTTAGAACTGACTTTTAAATGTGGCAATAAACAAAATCTACTAATTAAAATTTCTCCACAGAAACAACAATGTTGAATGTGAAAAGGAATTGAGTATCGTCAATAAAAATCTGCTAGCATGACCACTGTAGGATTAAAATGAAAAAAACAACAGATATAGTGACCATTTCTAATTCCATAAAATTTATATTGTTGTATATATTTTGAAACCAGTTGAGTGATCGTTTACTTACTTTTCTTAAGTTACAATAGAGAAACAGTTCATATATTCTAATTACACACAAGTGTTGTATGCTTTTCAATCGTATATCACAGAATGCAACAATCTATGAGGGTCTCTAGGAGAATTAGCCATTGTCTGTGGATGGAGTGCCAATTTTATCTTAATATGCGTCAATATTTCTGTAAGAATGTGTGTATGAATGTGGATAACAAAAAAGAATTCATAGCCACACCCGCAAGATATGCATTTTCTTCTCACTCGATCAAGTATCACAACAGCTCGAGACCTTCGATGACCAATAGGGCTTTCTATTCTCTTGACTTCAAATATTCTCCGTATGAAGATGGTCAACGAATTGCTACGTCATTCAGACACATGACAATAAATACAAAATGTAAAATAGGCTGTATTCAATCCTTCGATTATTGTCAAGGCTGAGTAGTAAAAATTCTATCAAACTTGTAACAGTGGTACTTGATGGTGAGATAGTTGAATTGCGTATATGTAAGCTAAACGAACGTTGTTCCTATTCATTTACTCTGAAAAAATGGCAAGCTTTATATAACGACAAATCAAACTATTGTCTCAATTTTCCCCAGTCAATATAAAAAATAACACATAATTTTGCCGTTGTGACAAATTCTCTCACTGAGTTTTTCCCATTCTTTTTTTCTTCATAGTGTGTTGATGATTCACATGCTTCGTGGCTGCATGGGAGTATGAACGCGAGTGGGTGTCTAGCTTGTTATGATCCAGATTTCGACCTAGATTAAGAATCATCATCAGATGCTTTTATCTCTGTAATAGTCATTGTAAATTGTATTTTATACAGGTTCCTTCTACACTATAAAAGATAGAATGCTTTTATGAATTCCCACAGGATATTCTAGGAATGCCCATATGAATTCAGTGATGAATTTCTACTTTCTTGAAAATAAAATATTGATATTCAAATTTGGATTTTATACAGTAAATTAATTTGAATTTCTATTGTTTGGAAAATCAAGCATTTTCTAAATAATAGAAATTTGATGGATGAATCATAAAAGTATGAAATGCTGTAGCTTATTTAAAGTCGATTTTCTACAAAATAGATTTAAAAACAAATTACAGTGTAGTTTTTCTTAATTCATACTGTTACTGATTTATAGATTCTATATATATATATATATATTCTTCAGTTCAGCATTCTCTATCGCAAATATATGGGTGAGTGGTCGGTACGGGTGGATAATGATCTTCATTTCGTCCACGTTCTAGCGCTTCGCAATCACACCCGATGTATAGCCACTCGATGATTCACTTTATCTTAACAAAACAAGTCATACTTCGTCGTCGGGCGTGTAACTCAGCGGTAGAGTGTTCGCTTTGCATGCGAAAAGTCTTGGGTTCGAACCCCAATTCGTCCAGAATTGTTTTTTTTATATGTAAAAAGAAATCTTTTTCGTTCTTTACTAACCATAGGATGTTAAAAATTATTAGAATACGGCGATCAAATCCACTTTGTTTCTTCACATAATATTTAAAACCTGGCTATCAATATAGACCCTTTTTTAAGGTCTGACCTCGCCAGTCATGCTGGGTGTAGATGTGCGTCTAGATGGATTGTCTTATTAGTCCTTTTCAAACTCACACCGGTATTTTTAAGGAAACAAAGAGAGAAAAAAGTCACTGGACACTGAACTAATGTGATCTAAACACCAAAGTATCCAATCAATCATCAATTCATTCTGCTGATCTGAGTACTTGTTCATTGTGGAAACAATTCACAACAAGTGAATTGGGACATATAAGTTCCAAATTTAATATTGCGCATTTTTTTTTATCAAACAACCAATATTTTCTCTTCTTGGTTTTAAACATCTAAGATATAGCCAACAAATATCCTTTTGTTTCACTTAACATTTGACGAAATCTGGAGTTCGATTAAAAAACATTATATCAGTGAAAAGAAGAAAACAAAAATTAGTCTTAACATCAACATTGGCAATGCGAAATGTTCCAATGATGTCCATTGCTAAAGAACATAACACATTAGAACGAAGTGTGATATAAGTCATATAATCGTTGATTGAGAGGGATGAGCTGTAATAAAAAAAAAACTAAAATAAATCTTATTATTTTCCATTTCGAAATAAATTAGCTCTGTCATCGTCTAATATCTTCAAAAGAAAAAGTTTTTCCTAATGTTTTTATTAAGAAAAATCATCTTACATTCAACAATTTCCCTAAACTCGAACCATTCCGTTCGCGAGCATGCGTAGTAGAGTGTGTCATTGGCGTCACATCATGTCAGCCGTATTTTCGTAAAGATATGAGACCTAATATAATGAGACTATCGATAAAAATATGAACTCAAACACCAAGGAAACATAAAAATTATGCGAAATATATCTTTTATAGATTCACAGAATTTAAATCCATTATTAGAAATGACATATAGAATTGGATAGTACAAAATTAATTCTCCATAAATAGATTATCACGATCTGTAAGTGACTTGTAACCTTGGTTTGCAATTGAGAGATGATTCATTGTGATGGTTCAAATCACATCTAATCTGAAGATTTAAAATATTCCTTCAATAAGATTATGTTGTATTATAGTCGACCATTGTTTTTAAGGATTGCAATTGCTGCCATCGACAGTAGTCGAAAGACTTTCTAATGAATTATTGATAAAGACGTTTGAATTCTTCAATTAGTATTCTCCGTTTTTTTCTTCCCTCAATTGTTGTATTGATTTGATCTTGGTCATTTTCATCAAATTCATGTGCGGCTCGACTAAATGTTCTTATCTATGTTATTCAGTGTCTATTATTACTCGGTCGCAATCAAATTATACGATTTCGTTCGTCCAACAGTCATCGAGTCAATTTAATCATATGGAATGGCAGTGCTCCAACATGGTTGATAAATTGTCTCGATAACCATTGGCAGAAAGAATCACTCACATTGATCCCCGCCGCTACTCTACTTTTCACATCGATTCGCTCGTTGACACTGTTAGATATAGACTTGATCGATGCATACTTCTTCTAAGTGTGACCACCCTATATCTCATCACCTACAAATATAAACCTCTATAAAAATGTTTGAATAAAAATTCTACAACTCTTCGATCTTTAGATCATCATGTCAAAAAATGATGACTGCTATACAGTGCTTCGCACCGTAATAATTAAAAATAATTTATTAAAGTAAATATACAAATTGATTATTTCCTAATAAAATTATACCATGGTTTCTATGAATATACTTTGTTTGAAAAACAACAACATTATCCAAGAATTTATATAGGCTTATGTACAAAAACAAATCATGTGTCAATAATCAAAAAAAATGACTTTCTTTGTTCTTCTATTGCTTTTGTGCAGCTTTAAGTTGCTGGACTTCATCAGCAAATTGATCGAAA